AGATAGGAACAAGTTAGTGAATATCTAATATTCAATGAAAATCAATAAACAATATATTTATTAAATATTCCTTTTAACCAATCAAATTAGAGATTCGTTATTCTAAACACATTGAAGTTACACAAACTAACATAAAATTCAAATTAGACAGTTCAAATCAGTTTGTATAAAACAAATGAAAACTATGACCTCTTACGTTAGTTATGAAATGGTCACAGTATCTGTATAGTAATTCAATTAGCAAAACAAGTAGGCTGTGTAAACACACTGCTTTTAGTCGGATGGAAAAATTTTTTTTAGAAAAAGGGTGTTCAGTAAGTTGACAATTTTGGCTGAAAAACATTTCAGTATTATGTGAGACTAATTGAAGCAACCTAATAATGCATTACTGATGATCGTGTATACAAATTCGAGATAATGGAAGTCAAATGAGTAACAGTGTTTCTTCACTCGTCATCCATGTGAAGATGATTTGAATATTTGGAATAAATGGAACTATCGATGTGCTCAACTAATTTAACTGTGATCATTTCAGTTGTGAAACATAATTCAAGACCTCAGAAGAACCAAATGATATAGAAGATGGTCGGATAGCACTCATAAAGTGCTGTTTCCTTCACTTATGAAGAAACTGGTTATTTCAGTGTTGACAACTCCAGAGGCTATAAATCTCCATATGTTGTCAATCAAATAAGAATAAAAACTACTTTCAGTTCGAGTTGGAATGGGATAAATGATCATATACTTTATTTATTTCGTATAATTCCCTTCATTTTATAATTTGAGAATGGTAATAATCTACCTAAATTCAATTTACATATCAGACTAATTTCCCTGTGGTCACCCGGATATAGTGAACATGGATTTCTTATAAGAAACGGTATAAATTACTGATCTGGATACTCAATCTGCAGATTATATATAATTTGGATATGCCTGTTATAAATGTAATTAGAAACTCAGATTTGGTATGACTAGACAACAGTTTACAAAAATTATAACTAGAAATGACTTAAACCTTATTGATTATAAACGAACTGTTGAGTTTTGTTTAAGCTATGTCAATTTATTGGGAAACTGTGAAAAATTTACTTAAATTCTCCGCAGTATTATAAGCTTATCGCTCTGTATTTTTTATAAATGTATGTCGAAAGACGTTCATTTGAATATTCTCTGAACATTCTGCTAATATAAAACACGAAGTCTTAAATTTATTAGACAGCTAGTTGTATTCTCGAAAATATTTTTGCTTCGTCAATCTTTATCGAGTTCTGTGTTAAGATACTTTACAGTAAACGTTCAATGTTTACCCATTCTTTAAGTGATCAATAAAACTATTTGGAATAGGATCATTAATAACTTGTTTAGTGATAGTTATTCGCTAATCAGTAGTGTACAAATCGAAATAAGACAATATGGAAACTTTTTTTATAGAAATGAGAATAATTAAACTTTGTAGTGTGATAATTAAATTTCAGTCTGTTTGAATTAATTGTAACGTATTTTGGTCAACAATAAATTGATTTTAAATGAAAAAAAGAGAAACTAATAAAGACGGAAACACTTTCATTAGCTATTAATATTCATGTAAATATAAAAAGGATAATGTATATAGTGAGTCATCTTATTTACAGTGTATAAAGTACAAATATAGGTTATACACATACATATAAGGCTTGATATCCTGAAATTTAGTGTCTCATTACAACTAGGTAGTAAAATCCACTGACCGAGATGATTAAATGTATTATATAAGAAAAAAGGTTATGATGATGAAAGAAATGATAATCAGCTTCGATCATGAACACCGAAAGTTAAGAAGGGAACACGGTAAAAGTATGGTATAATGAAAAGTTAATCAGAATCAAGCAGACTTTTAAATTTCTATGCGAAATTCAAAAATGAATAACGCTTATCTCATATCACGTAAAACGAGCAGAAGACCATTAACTCTGATAATCAGGGACGATATGAGGACTCTTTAAAAGAGCTCGAGGAGATGGATGTTCTTTGGCCATATAATGGATGAATTTAAATGTTACTTTATTGACTTGCAGGCAAGAAAAGTTTTAGAAGACATCAAAAGATTTATTGGTTATGTAAAATTTTATTAATATTATTTTTCCTCGTAAACTAATTACCTACAGTGTGTTTCTGATTGGCTAACAAGGGGCTAAGATCGGTCGCTATTATTTCAAGAATCATTAAAACTTGTCCCCATACCATTGTTTTACGCAAGGACACTTTTTCATTCAGCTTGTATAAAACGGTATTTTAGTGATGATTAATTTAAAAAATACTATCAACGACTAACGAATACGTACCACTGCCAATTCAAACACTATGATTAATAATATCAAAGAGACAAATATTACTTTTATTAAACAGCTACTAATAAATTTTACCCGACAACTGTGTAGACCAATTCACTATCGTTGTAAATCAATCATTTTAAGATTAAACTAGCTAGAGATGGATTTTATCACCTTCTAGCTCAAAATAGTTTATTCATACGAGTAAATTAAAAGACTGACATAATCAAATTTCTAAATCTATTAAGTGACAATAAGTGTTATCTGTGAAATAGCTCACATTAACCTGTTTGAACATTGTGAAAATAAACTACAATTTTGATTTCACTAAAGTTTATATTGAGTAAGTTTAAGTTCTCAGTTAAATCCCATCAACACACTTATTAGTTTGATTATCCTACTCAATCACTTACTTATGCCTGTTACCCCTCGTGTAGGAGTATAAGCCGCCCATCAGCAATCCTTTCCAGTTGCTACTCATCCTCTTGATGTCCGCTTCAAATTATCAACGCAGTGTGTTCTTTGGCCTTCCTCCTCTACATTTCCCTTCAGGATTCCAAGTTATCACTTCCCATGTGATTCAGTTTGATGATTTTTTTAAATGTGTGTCCTAACCACTTCAAACGTCTTTTCTTAATTTCCTCCTCAGATGTAAAAACTGATTTCTTCTCTGTTACAGTAGGTTATTGTTGATGGTATCCCGCAAAAAGACATTCACTATCTTACGTAGACAATTGTTTATAAATACTCGTAAATTTTTGATGATGGTTGTAATAGTTCTCCAATTTTCAGCTCCGTACAGTCGAACTAACTGTCTTAACGTTCATATTGAAGATTCTGACTTTGATATTGGTCGACAGTTGTTTTGAGCTACATAAGTCCTTCAACTGTACAAATGCTGTCCTTGCTTTGCCAATCCTCGCCTTTAGGTTTGCATCAGATCCTCCACGTTCATCGATGATGTTACTCAGATACGCGAAGCTTTCCATGAAAGCCGTTCATTGTATTGTGTGCTTACCCTCAGATGTCGGGATGGTCTTTACAATCCAGCTGACCACCAGAAGTGAACGTGTATGGTGAGCGGCCTCGTCTGACTCCGATCCTTACTTGGAATGTCTGCCGACTGTCCTCCATGCCTGACTTGTAGTGTAGTCCGTCGTATGAATTCCGGATGATCCTGAAGATTTTCTCAGGTACACCATAGTATCGAAGACGGTCCCATAATGTCCTTTTATCCATGCTGTCAAATGCTTTCTCATAGTCAGGGAAGTTGATAAATAGTGACGAGTTTCATTTAATTGACTGTTCAACAATGATCCGTAGTGTTGCGACTTGGTTTTTGTCCTTGACCGGTCTCTCTGGTTTACTACATTTTCCTTCTAGTTTCTTCGTTGTTTCATATAGCTGTCTCATATTTCCTTCTCATGTAGCTTTCTCCGCTGTCGTTGCTAGCTGTTCCGTGTATTTCTGCTTGCCAGCTCTAATGCTCCAATTCACTTGCTTGTTTGCCTCTGTGTATTTAGCTCGTACCTCGATTTTCTCTGCCCTTGTTCGACTGTTGTTAATTGCTGTCTTCTTGTTTTTCCTTTCTTAAATCTTATCCAGGGTTTCGATGGAGATCCATCCCTTATGATGATACTACTTGAGGCCCAGCACCTCATAACATGTTGAAGTCAGTGCTTCTTTGATTACTTTCCAATTGTTCTCCAGTGTTTTCTTCTTCTCTGAGTAGATCTTGTAAAGCTTGGAACCTGTTGTTGAGTTATCTTGAATTCGTTAAGTTCGTCAGTATGTCGAAAGAATGCTGTATCAAACCTTTGTTTTGTTGTTTGTCCATTTTCCCAATGCTTCTTTAGCTTCAGTTTCATCTTGGTAACCACCAGGTGGTGACCTGAATCTATGTCAGCTTCTCTCTTTGTTCTCACGTCTTTCAATGTCCTTCTGAATTTTTTTACGTAAATATTATCTATCTGGTTCTAAGTGGTGTGATCCGGTGAGATCCATGGGGCTTTGTGTATGCGTTCGTGTGGGGATATTGTACGGCCTACGGGGATGGGGTTGTCGACCCCACACACACAATTTACAATCAAGGAAGTTTATATTTTCTCAGAAATTTTACAACAATACCCACTAAATTTATGTATTGGTTTACCAACCCGTAAACACTTTCTCAATCAACCAAATAATATCAGTTAACATTGTAAACTTGCACAACAGAAAATATAAGATCAACACAGAAAAATATCCTGTAAGTATTAGAAGGAAATACCTAGAAACTTCACCATAACGATCATAAAGCATTAAAAATGTATGTGTTAAAATGATCTCTTGTTACCAAAATGTACATATTATGCACGGTTTTTAATTCCCTTAATCCCATGAAGCTAATTAGATAGATCGCTTTCAGAAGATAAAGAACCGTTAAAGGGGATGGCATTCATTTATAGATATAGATCTATGAACTCAGAGATAAGAATGCTCTGTACGAAAACTTGTAGATAATTATGAATATTTAACAAAGTATGAAATTTATTTTTACCTATAGATTAAAATTCGTTTTAATTTTGCAAGAGTTATGGGGGAAAGTTATACAACCATGAGGTTAAATATGACGATCATTTTACCTTAAAGACGCTAAGCAAAGGATAAGTTAGATGATCCAAACAAACATTAAAAAATAAAACTCACTTGGCTTAAGCGTTTTCACAGCAACAATTGTTGTTTTATTCCATACAGCTTTAAATACTTCACCGAACTGACCTTGTCCAATTTTTTCCTTCAAAATAATTGAAGATTTTGGAATTTCCCATTTATCAATGAGTTTGTGTGAAAGACCCACAGGTTCTGGATGGGTTGGCTAACCAAATAATAAATAAAAAAACAATTAACTGTAAGTTATTCCCTAAATGAATAAATAAATCAAAAAACATTTTGATTGTCTTATTGTATTAAATAAACAAATCTGTATATCATGTACGATAGTTGTTAACTTTTGAAGCCTATTGTTCAGTGAAACTAAAGTAAATCAAAATATAACTATAAATGAGTGGGTCATTTTAAATGAAAGAAAAATGTATAGATATCATAAATGAAATTTCCGAATTCTCTCGATTAAGTCAAATTTACAGTAAGCTATGGAATTACACATAAAACCACAGAGAGTAATTATTATCTACAATGAAATAAACTAGTTAACAATTAACATCAGTATGGACATTATTGATTTTAGATTGGTGTTGGGGTGATCAAGAAAATTTTTCGCAAAAGACAAGCAAGGGTCAGGAAACACTTAAAAGCATTTCATCCAATCAGTGTTCACTTGAAGCTTTAGCCAGAAACATCAAGGAAGTGAGACGTCACATGTAGAGGTTCTGATTGACTGATTGCTATACTGCTACTATGCTTAGTAGCAACAAAACGCGCGTCCTGGATTCCACTGTTAGCCATTATCTATCTTTGCTTAACAATTAATAGTTCACTTTTTAATTTTCATGCCTTTCATATCTCATAACCTCATTAAGTCTATTCGTTGTGTAAGAAAATCGATAATCTATACGCTTGTAATCAACCTGTTTTATTCAGTAGTAAATACAAGATGTCACACCTTGGTTAGTGTTTTATTCAAACACAAAAAGAAAACAAATCAACCTTTAAACGCATAAACACTTTTGTAAGGGTCAAACTCCGTTAATAAGGTCACCAGAAGTCTTCTGTTTTATGCTATTCAAATAGTGAATGCACCTAGTGCAATAAAATATTTGATGGATTATACATGACAGAAGTGAAGTTAGAAGTAAACCGTTAAAAGAAGCAACTACATTTAAATAAAATCAGTCAAAATAAAGTATATGAGACAAAGAAAAAGTTTTTGCAGTTTATACGTGTAAATCTAGGGCATGCGTGCATGTTATGGTACTATCACATCGTCTAAATCAATAAGAAACAATATCTATTATCATTAGAGAAAAAAGTGTTTTATAAGATTTATTCTACAAAAGGGAATATATTATACACATGACCAAAAAGAATGAACCAAATTTCTGCAGGTCAACAACAAAAAATGAGATGAAACAGGGAAATAGTGCCCACTTTTGTCTGTGTGCAAGAAAAAATATGATAGTATGGTCAACTAAACGGATATCCATGAATCAGTAACCAATTAATCGTCCCAACTCAGTTTTCAAATGAGAAGTCGATTATAATTGCACGTATTAATTAATGAACCACGTATATTACGTGAAATAGATAATATATCTATGGACAGTATCTTTAATAATTTGAGTGCTTAAACCACTGAGAAATAATACAAACTTAGCAGTTATCAAGCAACAATGGTCGCTAGCAAAACGCAATGCACACACTTAAGCATGAACAAATGTCAGACGATAAACATATAATAAGAAATGAACGACTAAAGACAGCCTCTCTACGCTACTGCAAAAAAGTAATTAAGTACTAAAAAGGTGAGAAATAAGCAATAATAGTAATGTCCTATCAGGATAATTTGCAAACGAAGTACACCATAATTTTACAATATTAGTGACTGATAATTCACTTTGATTACATGACTAACTACATTGCATAACTTTGTATAACATTAATTCTTTGATTAAAAAGGTCTCTTTAGACCCCACAAGACACGAAGTGAAATGCCTGTTGGAGTAACTCGTTTGAGCTAAACTACCTCCTCTGGATCACGGATATTTTAAATCATCCCAATAATATTTTCTTCCTTATCAATGTTCTTTCTATCCATGTATGATGTTTTGTCGTAATTGCTGGAATTCGCTTTCTATTTCATTGTAAAGCGTAACAGGAGTCAAGGTTTACAGGTAACTATGAGTTCGTCCATGTGCTAAAAAATTTTTGAATTCTTAAAAGTAGTCTAGTGTCTCACGTTATTTCTACTCACTCATGTAATTAGACATGAGACTGAAGCCTGGGATGTGCACAGAGAACGTTTACATATCATATTAACTAAAACTAGATCTTATACGAACACATAATCAAAGATAACATATACGGCGAACACTGAAATATTCAAACCCAGACATTTCCGAAATTCCATGACAAGAACGCTAGCCACTTAGTCAATCAGAACGATACTTACCATTCCAAGCAACGGGTGGTCATATCTCCCGAGTTCTAAACATTGAGTGACAGTGTGAGAACGCCACTTCATCAATTTCAATTTTGGAAAGCAGATAGTATCACTGGTCCCTCAAAAGAAGTGTGATTCGAAGCTGAGGAAACTATTTTGAACAAGGACAGTCAGATACATTAATCATTAGAACCCGTACAGACAGGAAAAGGTAAATCATAATCTACACCACAGACTTTATGTTAAGATAGTCACTAGAACAAACTCTATTTATTAGGATAATTGTGCTAGTATACGAATTCATATTTTTATTAAAGAGTTAACTAGCGTTCCACAGCCTTATATATTGACAGTACTGAGATCAATTATTCACAGGATAGTTTTGTTTTTAGAGGAAATAATTGTAAAAACAACAACATAAGGTATACTAATTACTAATGAGGATTTAACTTACTCGAATACATGGTTTTCCCAATCGACAACATAAACCAGATTGATTCTCTAAATAATGATTGACTAGCTGTTGAATATTAACAAAAGGCAGTTGTCTTGAAATGTAGAAACGTTTTAATGTAGGATCAGTTCGTGAATATCTTGATCGAATACGATAATGCTTAACAGTATTCTCTTCTCGTACTGAAAAGAAGAAAAAATATTAGGAAACCTATGGAGCAAAAACGTTAATAACTTTTCATACAGTTTATCTATTAACTTTTTAAAGTGGTCTATATAACAGTGGGATTTATCGCGTCTGATTGAAATCCAGAACAGATGATAACTCGATACACATTAAACAATACAGAGATCTAAGATTTTCAATCAATATAAACAGAATAAACAACTAATGTGATAATTAGAAAACAAAGATTCCGGACATAGACTTGTTCCTTTTTTTCCAAAAAAAGAAAGTAACAACAAAAACAGACATAAATAATAACACATACACTAGTTTCCATTTAGTGTCCACAGATCGCTTTCTACGTAATGGCTTTGTTAGAGATTCTACTGACAGATTGGGCAGTATAGTTAGGTGTCTGTCATGAAAAGTTTATTGTACAAACTAAATTACTTAAATACTTTAAAACAAAGTGAAAGCAATCATGAACCTGGATGAGTCAGTATAGAGCTGAAAGAAGAGGTTTTTAATTCAATTTGTCACATTTACAAACACATCTGTGAAGATGAAATATTATATCAAAAAGGGAAGTGAGTTAATAAGACAGAATACGGTTAAAATCTCAGTTCAGTTATTCCATCATTATCAACACAGGGATATCATGAATGAGTGTAGAGTAGACCAAGCTGTCATAATTTATATTAGCAGAGAAAGAGGAAATCAACAAAACGAGTAGTAAGTTTTTAACTGGAAACAAAATTTAAATATGACAGATTTAGCTTGAAAGAAACACAAAAAAATCGATGAACAAAAACACAGGATTCTGAAATGACGATTATAAACCCAGACCTATTGACTAGCGTGCAATTTTGATTATCATTGTTTAGCAATTATATATAAATGTATATGGCCTTTATAATGTTTTAATAGTCTAACCTTTTGTATATTTGCGCTAGATTACGATTATTACAGAAGGTTCAATCAGTTTATCAGAGATTTATATTTGTGAAATCTCGATAGGATATTTAAAACCTAGATTCATGAGATAACTACGTCATCACTACTTATTAAAGAAAATATTATTAATTTACAGCAGAATCACAACAATTCCAACTGCTAAATTCTTCAATTCATGAACTCCATTTGGTAAATACATAATTTCTCAAGAATATCAACTCACCTCTGGAATCATGAAAAAAAGTTCACTTCTTATTAAAGAAAACAAATAATAGATAAATTTGGCCATATGAAAATTATGGATATGATGTCGCTTAAATTCATATCTATAACTCACTTAACGATATCATCAAATATAAATCAACGTCAGAATTGAACTTTGCCAAAGGTAACACAATATACATAATTTTGAATTCGATAACCGAAATCTTAGTACCTGATGTTATATGTTCGAAAAGATATTACTTATTTCTGAAGGATATAACCTCTGTAATCACCTTTAACTGTTCCATTTATTCAATAATACATTAGATTACAGTATTAAGGCTGACAATACAAAATGAAGCAAATTTTACAAATAACATTTATGTTTAACCCAAACGGCTGTAGTGTATTTTATGAATAATTATACATTCGTAAATCTGTTTAACCATACCTGCCCCCTAACCCTCTCGCTATAAATCCATGAACAAAATTATTTTACAGATGCAAACAAATGTTTGTCAGATGCTTAAATCCCAATATAACATTGAACAATTCCCAACACTCCGTAACCCCTGAATCAGTATCTGATTAAAATGAAGGCGTTTTAATAAGAAGTTAAGAGTAAACGCGACTGTAACGTTTAATGAGAAATCTAATTTGATATTTGTAGTGTGAAACGCAGAGAACTAAAAATGATTAATACAAAACAATGAGTTAAAAATACATACTTTAATTTGCCCTATTAAATATTAAAAACTTGAAAATGAATTACATTTGACCATTAAGACGACAATGAATAACTTATAATACATTATTATAAAAAATATATTTATTTGGAAACTAATTGTATATACGAAAATGTTTTGGGAAATGCATACAAGCCCATGTATAACTGCCTATTAATCAATCGTACTCGTCTGCATTATTTATTTATGATATGAATATGGTGTTGGTTTATGCAGAGCTAAGTCTTTTAGTATTACTTGAGACTACATGAATCCATTCTTCTAGAACGAACTTCATTCAGACAATAAAAATCGTATTTTTGACAGAAGTTGAGTAATGCAATTATTAAGACAGAGGAAATTATTTTTTTATGGTATGATATGCGAGATCGATCGACTAACTTTATAAGAATAATGTGATTAAATGATAATTATACACAAATCTGACTCAAGTCAACAATGGCCGAGTATCAAAAGGCAGAATAACCGGTCAATAAAATGAATAGAATTCACTTAAATTATAAATGGTTATTGAATTTAGACCTCGTAGGTAACCTCTAAACTGGTAGATTTGAGACCCTACGATCAGCCTCATCAATTCTCCTATCACCTCACCTCAAATGTTATGATGGAAGAATTCTGTTATAAATTATACATATACACATTTAACTTAATTCATACAATATTCTGTCCGCTCTAACAATGACGGAGGGATTTGAAGCTCTGAATCTCGGTGACAACTGGTAAGTTGAAATCACTTATTTCATTCAGATGGGATCAATTCATTAATAGTTGAAATTGACCGGAAGATTATGAGGATCTACTAATTCAACTTAATTTTGATTTCCGATCAAAAATAACTAGGGTAGTAAACGATACTACTGATAACTTTTGCACACGGAGGAACAGATGGGTGAAGAAACATCTATCAACTTTGAATAAATTGTCCTTCAGCAACGACGTAGAAAATGCAGTGCTTGAATCAAATTTCTTTGTGGGTTAATAAACAAGTTCCACTGTAACTTCACAAGCAATGTTATAACAAACGAAGGCCAAAAAATCCAAGGAAATTGAGTGAATGGATCTTCGACTAAATAAATGTCTATTGAACTCGCAAAAAAGCTAGTCCGACATCAGCAAATACGCAATAAATCTGCTAATTGAACCGTCGATCCGATTTCCAACCAGCTTCTAATAACTCCAGGTTTAATCTACATGGCAACTTGAACACGAGAAGTGTGGGAAGAACGCTTTACTCCATGGTTAGGTTTATGTACAGAAAAACGAGGGCATTTATAGTAACATACGACATTGGGCTCCTGGAAATTTCTAGTGCCATACCAAATATAGTAGCAGCATATGTGAACATCCAATCAAAGCCATGGCATGTGATTCCGCTTCTTCTTCTTCTAGGTGTTTCTGCGACGATAAAACGTTTCCTGGCGTTTCTGGGCTCCGAAGGAATTTGACGAGGGATATTTTTTGGGACTACTAAAACAAAGTCCACATGCACCATGAAATAGTGCATGTAATTAGATTCAGAAATGGGCATGATGAAGATTACTCACCTACATACATTTCAGCCAGGAAAAACTTTAAATTTTGTAATATCGCATGTTTTAGTATCTACATATCCAGAAACCTATTGGGGTGCAAGTATATATGGATTAATGAAGAACTCTGAAAAAATGCCAGTCATGTTTTAAAAGAAAGCTATTCATATTTATTTGGTGTTAAATAATCTGTCCAAAAGTATGTCACTTATAGAAGATGACTAATTCTACATACCAGTTATTGTTTTTTACAACCATTGATTGTTGGCTTGAATAAATTATTTAGATGTGTGAAGATACATCACCCGGACGATCGATCGCACAACCTATAGTTATAAAATTATTTGTCTATTATAGAAACTATAAATATTACCTTTATGTTCGAAGACAACACAATGTATCTGCAATCTAAAGACTAACGAACTTATTATTGACAAGTCAAATAGTTCAGAGTTTGAACAAAAAATATTATAACTAACCCTTTTATGCTGTGAAAAAATCTCCACAAAATTAGATTAAGCACATGGAATAGCTTTTGTTTCTCTTAACGACCCTAGAATGAAATGTTTGAAAGACTAAATAACGCAATAATGATAATAATCACTACTCCATAATTTCAGCACTCAATTACTAACTAATGAATTACAGATGAGAGTTATGCCCGATTTTATACTATTTAGCAACTGAATATCTCAAGCCTTACACTGTTGATGCTCGCTCTTACACACACGATTATTGACGGGTTCCGGATTATATAGTTGAGTTATTATTAATTTGCAGTCCAGGTAGCTGAATTAGGCTGATTACCTCCTGAGTACAAAAACGACGATTCCCACCTTATCTTATGAATGCAGAAGTATATCAGAATCCTGGAGATCAGTAAGAAATTTTTTATCGGATATTATTTACTGGACATAACAAAAATGCAACAACATACATAATTACTGGTTTCTCAGATCATTACATCCAGAAATGTGAATAACATAGTCTTAACCATTATGCTTAACACTATACAATCAAACATTTTGTTAAATACTGTATAATCTAAATATCAGTAGACAAGAGATATGGAGATCAGAATACTGCTAATCTGTATTTTATCACAAATAAGAGTTTCTCCAAACTTTGGCAGATATCGCTCACGTTATTAAATCCAAGACTATCCCATATACAATGTAGCTGATAACTAGGCATAAATATTATTGACAGAGTACGACCTAGTCAAAATAAACGAGGTTAAACTGTCTGAAATAAAAGTAAACATCAAAAAGTCAATAAATTATAAGTGGATGCTACAAAATTTAATATGTTTACGCTTAATAAACGAATAAATACACACTTTGAACATGACTGATTAAAATCAATGCATTTTCGTAAATCCATTTATTCAGTCCAAATAAAACTACACTTAAAAAGGTTAAAAATTTGCAGGGAAGATACGCCAAAACTTTGTAAACAATTTTTCTAAATATTTAAAGTGACACAGACACCAAGGAAAAACATTTTTTCATACAAATGTTATCACAATCACCTTTTTAATTTTATGGACTCAGTGACTGATAAATCAGATATGAAAAACACAATTATAAAAGATGAAAATGATATATATATATCGTTTCCATTTAGATTTACACGATTGATTTTCGTAAGGCCGGGTTTGAACGACGATAAACGAACAAAGACAAGGTATTTTAACTTATCAACTATACTGAAAACAAAATACAGTGGTAAGTCAAATGTTTATATTGAATAATGGTATTGTACCGTTTTCGATAGCTGCTTTAAGGATAAAAACCTGTCTACATTGTCATAAGCACAGCGGTATAATGCTGTTGTTTTTTGACCAATTGTATTAATAATTTTTCGTACTTTTAAACATCTACCTACTAGCCAATCTCTTTGTAGTGGATATTGTTGAATGTATTACACACAAGAAGTGTAACAAAATGAAATAAGACCAGCTTTCCACGTAAATTACAAATAAACAAAAAAGTAATGACAGTCTTCATATACCTAAAGAGAGATGTGTAGAAAGCAAATTCTCTCTTAACCACGAATTTCCGATGACGCATTTCGTACACAACTGTTTATCAGGCTATCCATGATAAGTTAAGCATTCCAAGATACATATTTTCTGCATAGAAATCCACAGAACTAAAACAATACACTTGTCATGATTTACTTGACCTCTCTAATATCGACTTGAGAATAGGATTAAAATAGAAAAAACAACTGAGCATCATAACATAGTTAACATGCTATTAACAATCTGTTAATGCTAAGAACAGTTTAGCATGTGCACCCAACAGCAATTTGCAAAATGTACGTGAAACTAATAGAAATACTCATTATTCTTTCGGTTATTTAGTTTCAATTTTCTCCAAAATCTTGGAAGATAGAAAATTTTTAAATTCTTCTTTTGGACAAACTATTTACATAAGCATAAATAGTTTGGGAAACTGAAATTCTTATTCTGCTAGGTACAGTAGCATCAAGATATGGCTAACTACATATTACAAGTCGGGAGTTAAATCATCTCACCTAATCTATTAATGGATAAATAAGCTTTGTTTTTTGACGATCAAACTTCAACTCCATGGAGGATTGTTACAAATGTGAATATTAGTTGAAAAGTTGTTAACAAATACGATAAGTCCGAAAAGTAGACTGATGATATAGCGACTTAATGAAAAAGTACATTAGAGACTCATTTCTAAAAATAACCGATCATTAGTTTTGTTGGCTCATAACGATTAATAAATTTGAAAATTAACCAACAGAAATAAAACAATCCATAAAGAGTACGGAATTTTCAACTAGGAGAAACCACCTAAAAAACAGTATACAAAGACAATAGTATAATTAAATGAAAGCCTTTCTATAAAAGTATTATTTCTGCAAAATATCTTTAAGACAAACAAAAAAAGCAATTAAACCATTTTCATCAATAATTGTTTAGGCAGTTGATTTTCACTTTAGCTGTGAATACAAATAAAAGTGACTAGATGAATCATCCATAACAAAGCGGCATATACAAAACAAATAGTCGGAACATGCAGAACGTATACTGAATAAACCAATCAGAAACAAAATGGAAGTCTGGTTGACATTTATAAACTATTTCAAATGACAATTAAGTCCCCTACCCAAAAGTTAGTATACATTTACTAAGTGTACAATTAAGGAATAATTAAAGAATAAAAGTAATTCCACAAATAAATAATCTCAATATACATGAGATGAACAAATAAAATGGATGTTTTTTCGCAACTATTCCTTGATAGTGGATAATCATTAGAATTCATGCATAAGATTATTTTATCATTGTACAGTGAACGACTACCACAATTACTACTAAAGAAAAACAAGTTACAGAAAATGGAAAGAGATTATATCAATAGAGACGGTCATATTCAAGGAAAATTGGTTGATGTAAAAGGAGATAATGAAAGTTCAGTACAACATATAACCGTCAGATGAGTTATGATTCATGAATTTTAATTTCGATAGAACAATAAGAAGACGGACATTATTCGAACAATCTGACCACACACATACTTGTTAAGAACATTTATATACAAAAATATAAAAGGTCAACTATACTAGAAATGGAGGGTAAGAGGAGACAAGGATAATAATGAAATAATCTGAAACCTCATTACTCTGGATAATAAGCTAATATTACCAGGGTAGGTTTAAGGTGAGAACAAACTTTTTGAATACACAAAGAGGGTTTGAATTTTCGTAGGCTTAAGGCCTCAGTAAACATTAGTATACGCCCTTTTACACTTTTGTACAATGAGTTATTTATTAAACTACTCTATGCTTGACCATTTGGTTCCAGGTTCATTTACAATAGTATAAATGGTTAAATGCCATTACTAATTGATATATTAAGGGGTAGCCTAGAATTGATTACAAGAAAATGAGTTCGGTGACTAGGTTACACAAAGGTCCAAATCAAATTAAAATTGGAATATCTTGATAACCGATGGCATTAATATCAGACATTAGGACAATAGAATTAATAATTTAGATCGGATGGAACACCGCAAAGGAAGTACTTTTCCAGAAGGGTTTTCTGAAGTATACGATTAAACGCTAATGATTTTTTTGTTATAGAGGACTTCTGTTATTTGGTTAGACGAAATTCCAACTGTTCAGATTGGTGAATAGAATGGTGGATCGAAACATGGACACAATGATATAATGTAACCGAATGATGGATGCTCACGAAACCGTATTCATGAATTAGACTCCCGAACGACTAAAAGTCAAAGACAAGACCACTAGCCATATGAATAGTTTTTTTAATATAATTAAATAATATGCTTATATACAAAACATGAACACGAAATTGCCATGGGAGATAGCAGGAAATTAGCTTGTAATTCACTCATTCTTCAACCAATTAAAACCTGACTGTTGAGTTTAATCTTTGGGCATCGTATTGCATTTGCAGATATAAAATAAAATCACCAGCCTTTTGGACTTTACTCTTAATCGCTTATTATCGCAGAAGGCTATTTTATGAAAACAGCAACTATTAGAGGTCAGAAAATCTAAACAGATGTAATCTGTAATACTTTTAAAAAGTATAGTGAAAACAGCACTAGCTAAACTAGCATAGAATCTTCATTTATACGACGCATTCGTCTGAAAGTGGCTGATAGGCAACAAGCTAATCAGAGAGGGTAAATAACTTTAGAGAGGGTTTAGAGGCTGTATATACACACTACATCTCTTTTAGTGAACGTGTGGAAAGCGACAGCTTATTTTAAAACCGTTTGATAACAGTACATATCGTGTACAATCACACAAATGCTGAAATTGGTGAGGAAGGAACGTTTAAAAGGTTGAAGACACTTAATTTTCAATTCCAATGCTTAAAACTGTATTTGTAGCGAGAATAACTGAGGTAAAAATGAACCTCTTCAAATCTTACTTGTGATAGACTACCAAAGATGAAAGAGAGGTTCAGTTGATAAGTTCGAAATTCACTAATTTTGCAGAACTTCACTTACAAAACACCATATGTGCAACAATTCTCAATTGATTCAACGGTTTCACTTAAGGCAACAGAAATTTAGTGGAGTTTTGTATAGGCTTGAAAGTACTATAATGTGTAATATATAATGATTAAAAGAACAAGTCATCTTCAATATACCGATATGTTAATAAAGACATTCGCCTTTTTTGATGTGCATCTTTGCTAAAGTATGACTTATTATTACAGATTGATGAATGTACAATCCCGTTGAGTGTCAACGATTTACAGAATGGAAGCCCACACTCTAGAATCGAACTTTACGATAATTTGCCAAAATAAACCTCGTCATCTTTTGTTAATTTCCTTTCAAAATAAAACCTTCCAACCCAGTCCATTTAAAAAATTTTGAACATGTACAATTTATTTTGAAAACTTACTTTATTTACAAACCAATAATGTAACTTAGCTAAAAGAAGTAATGACTATTCAGACATTAGGTTACACGTTAAAATCCCACACCTATTTTAGTTTGGGTCGCTGAGTAGTAGTATTACTAGCTCTTGCATAGGCAGAATGGTCATCAGAAGTAAACATATTTTGTAATAAACTTGACTTTCGTTACCTTAGCAAAAAACCTTAAAATATAGAGAAAACTGATTCGCTACTAATACATTTACAAGGAAAACAAAGCTGAATGTAATTTTTTGTTTCACCCTAGTGGCTATTTTTCAATCATATAATTTTACCAACCTGATAAAGAATATTCACTGGATTGAGATTCACTGATTCGAACCAAAAAAGAGCCGTGATCATTTCCCGGAAGTTGAAGATAATGTTCAGCTTCGATACGTTTCAATTCTCCAAAATACCATCTACAATTTACAGAATTAAAAAAAGCAGTGATACAAATATACATTCACAAAGAAAACGAAACGATAAACACACTTCATGTTACTGGTCTTAGATAATTCATCGCTAAAAAATGTAAACAAATCCGGTTTTCTCACTGATAATGGGGTAAATAACTCGTTTAAATATTAAGAATAAGTAAAAATAGCTCCCAACAATGAAGAATCCATCAACAAGCGATGGAGAATACAAGTATTATACCATGACATTATATGCTACATTAATGATGAAATAGCGACGTCCCAATAAATTATGACTTTTAAGAATTGATTAAAAGGGATATCAATTCATACGATTATTCAGTTGATATCGAATCGAGATTATTTCCATCTTCAACTTCAAAACAAAAATATTGACTAGATAAAAAAAGTCTTTTGACAAATGTAAGTAGTCAAATGAGAAGACAGAGTTTACCCGAAATACGTGATATATTAAACTCAATAAGTTTTAAACAATTTGATCACACAAATACTTGTTAAATTCCATCATTTCTATCAGCATCTCCCTTCATTGAGAGATATTTGGCTGAGACGGGTCATAGGATTGATATAAAATCAGATGACGTAGTGTTGTATGAATCCCTAGGGGGCCACACTAAGGTTTACTGAAGCCTTGATCATACGACGACTCAAAAAGTTTGTTTTCATCTTGAAACTATCCTAGTAGTATTGGTTCATATCTCTTTTCACTTTGTTTTCTCGCATTTTCCAATCTGTTTTTCTCGTCTACACGAATGAGACACTAATTTCCCTTATACGAATATTTACACTAGATTCCATTCCAGTTTCTATTCTACAGGACTTCAACACAACTCAGATCGAGAACACGTGACTGGCCTGACTAGAACGTAAGTTTATTTCCACACTAAAAACCGACAACAATCAATAATAATAATAATAAAATAAAGGGTAAGAGGATATATAACTCATCTAGTACCTGTCAGACTATCTACTACTCTGACTAAGCAAACAACCAATCATTATCTTCTCGAGCACATATTGTAGTGAACAGAACACGAGTGGGGACAATCGAATGTATCTGACACGAAATTACAGAGCATCTCACTAAAATCTGAGAACCACATAGTAAATAGTTAATTTACAAAATACCAATCCATCGTCTCAAACTTGACTGTTCCTTTTGCGAATATCAGTCCATTGTCTCAGATTTCACTGTTCATGAATTTTCATACCAATTGCGTTCCGTTCCCGTTCCTTCCTTATCGATCTTCTACTGAAATACATTCTACGCCTGACCACCGTTATATACTTATGTGGCTATAAACAACCCACACCACAATATCACTAATACAACACATTCTTAATTAACTATATCTTATCGCATCACCAAAACCTATCAATGAAGTAGGAAGAGCCATAGATAATATAAAGTGAGAGGAAACAGTAGGGCCTGATGGATTAAACTTAGAGATCTGTAAGGCGAGTGGTTCGGTTTTAGTTGTTAGATTGACTTGAGAGAGTAGCTAGAATCTAAAAACTGGACTCAATCTCATCTGACTGGTCTCAATAGCCGATCGTTCCAGTTTAACAGAAAGGATAGAAATCCTCTTGCGATATCCACAGAGGAATCAGCTTAACTAATGTAGTGTTTAAAATATTAGCCTCCATAATCATAGGTGCGGTCAAAGCAAAATATGGCATAAATCCATGAGTCATGGAGATAGGTATAAACAATCTGACTGGCTCCCCCTGATTACCGTAACCAATTGTTAGACATTTTGGGTGACATGGCTCAAAATCGATCTCCATGGCGCAGATGGACTCACTATGTCTTTGCTTATATCCTGAGCTTCTAAACTGCCTTATAAATTTTCATTTCACTAATCTATTTTTTCCCTGAATCGCATTTTCGACCCCTAATCTCTTACTACCAGTACTATTAATACCTCTCAGTCAGTCAGTCAGTAACAACGTAGAACTTCGTACGTACGTACATCGGTTCGAGTTGCCACACCACATTAGCATAGAGATGCAGTGGTCGATTCAAATCCCGTAATGGTAGAGGTAATAAGAGTATAAGCAGTAATCGGGAAGATTAGTGTTTGGAGATGTTATTTAAAGAGTATAATACAGTGAAATAAATTTGGGAAGAGAAAAAAAGAGACAAGGAGGAATAAGATCAAAATTTGGGAGAACATAAAGAGTGCATGCACCTGCGCCATTGCAAACGATTTTGAGCCATGTCATTCAGGGTCTCTAACCATCGGTTGCTATCATCTCGCGGTCCCCAACCAGGTAGTCTACACCTACCAACATGACTCAGACCACTTGTCAGTGACTTCATGGACTTGTGCCATGTTTTGGTCTGGCCGCCCCTAGCTTTCTTCCAACCTACTTCTATACCACTGAATAGGTTGGAAGAAAGCTCTAAGAATCTGGGACTTGTTCTGACAACTTCATCTTGGTATGCTAATGGAGTGTGAAGATATGAACAGATGTACATGTGTCAAGTTTCGCATTGCGTATGGCTCACTAATTGGTCAACTGGTTGAAATAAAATAATCCTTTATTTTATTTACTTCACCCGACATTTGTCTTGGAATTGATGAGAACTAGTTAATACCGAACGGAGAATCTAAAACTCTCAAATACTAGACAGGATAGTTGTCTTTTATGAACAGTCTGTCTAATAATGAGTGATAGCCATTATTACCCATACTAATAATATGGCAGCACGGATTTCACCCAGCACTGGTAAAATAAAAAATTAACATAATCGGGAACTTTGTACAACATAGAATCCAGTGAATAGCTCGTTGCAACACACATAAACTCAATCGGACGAAAAACAATTAATCACTCTTATAATTAACTGATAGTTTTAACGTGCCTAAATAGAAATTTAAATGGTTTTATTCCTATTCAAATATCACCGGCAATAACCAGACTCCATAAGATAACTTCAACAAAGTCACAACAACTAATGGAAGTCTTACCAGTACATAAAGGGCAAAAGTTTACTTACTCATTGGATTCTAAACTGGTAACAGCTGCTAAATGATTTTTGGGTACATATCCTCGATTACCAGTAGATACACATTCCGCATACCACCAATCAGAGTGTGAATTATCGAGTATATTAAATATTTGTCCTTTGGTCATATTCAAATCATCATCTACACGTTTAACGTAATCATGCAAAGCGACAAATTGCCCTTCTGTAGATATCTGGGGTGAATTATGTGATGGATTATTTCGTATCTGCACAACTGAATTGTTTAAGAAGTTGGCAGGCTGTTGAGTTGGTGAGAAGTTTGTTGACTGATGAGTGTTAGGTAGACATGATGAATTTCCAACAGATGATTTATCACCAGCAGTTACTGGAACACCCACAAAATCATTTGTCCATTTCGCTCCCTTAATCTGCTGAACTGCGTCGGGAACATAATTAGTATTATAGGGTTGGTAGCGTATCTGATCAAAGCTTTGTGAAGAATCCGGTGCTATCGCTGCTGGAAGCATAGAATTGGATGATTGACCATTATTGAATGAAATTTTAGAAGAGAAAATAGGTCGTCTTTCGACTACAGACCGAAGTGATGGTTCAAACATAGGCGCAGAAGCGTCATTCTTAAGTTAAAAATAAATATAAAAGAACACTCAGTAAAAATGTTTATGTTTACTTTGAAAATCAGTATTCTAAGGCACTTTCTCTATCATAATTCTGACTGAGCGAAAAATCCGTGGGTTTAGATTGAAGTTACAAGGAACAAGATAGAATAATTTTTGGGACTCAGTACGATGCTAACTAAATCATTTTTGTTGCATAAACGCTTTTGAGTGTAAATTGTTTCCTAGGGATGTTATATAATTTACGGCCCAATGAAAATCAGACAGAAAGAAGACTAAAGATGTGGTATAATGAAGTAAGTAGACCTAATGGTGGTTAATAATCATATTAATCCGATGACTAATTCTTTAGAGCTAGAGCTTGTAGGTAGATTGAATATTCATCGTAAGACAAGGTAAAGAAATACACACTAACTAGCATCTAGAGACTTTATTAACTGATGTTAAAACTTGACCTCTCATAGCACTTTGCGACCTAATCCTTCTTCAGTTAACATCATGCAGTGCAAAAGATAGTGGTCTGTATGAAAAGCATACAATTTAGTTAACTCAGTGGATAATCCATGCAACCAAATATTTGTTTACACTTCACTGAAGGAAAATCTGGGAACAACCATAAGAACCAGGCTAAAGTATGAAAACTAATTATATGATCTAGACAAAACTAGCTAGATGCTCATATATGGATGGATGACATATTTATCCAGAATTACCTTGAATTCAGACGGGATCAGCACCTCTAACAATTTGAAGTTAAAAGCTTTAAAACAATGAACTTTAGTATCCAATAAATGGTTGGAAAATCATCCCATCGAGCTACGAGCACGATTTGTAGCGAAGAAGCAACGATTGTGTGAAGTTGTGAACAACAAAACTAAAAGATGAAAAACGTGGTGCGCGCAATTTAGACTAAACATACGCTTATATTTCGTGGGAAAATGGCTTACATCACCCGCTAGTGATCTGCTCTTAGACCAAACCTTTGAGAAGTAGTTCAACTGATTTTAATCAACTCCAGGTACCCACTATTTGAATGAGTGATATTAGAAGTCAGCCTTAAGGAAACGTACAGAAAGCTAAAACAAGAGGTGAAAGATCCAAGACTAGGGACCCATGGGTTAATTCTAAAGATATTAAGAATGGTGGTTTAGTATTGCCAGTTAGATTAGCTAAGATACTAGCTACAGTTTGGTAGATCGATTGGATTTCATTTACCTGCTTGCAATTTACATGGTAAACATGAAAAACAGGACATGGACCCATTATCTACTAAAACGTACTGAGCGTATATTAAAATTAAATCTTCTGGGATCAAAGAAGGGATTGAAATGAAGTTTGACTAGATATCTTAGCCATTCTATGTACCAAACGTTTTAAGTCTGCCACAGCTCAGAATTTTCTGGTGGATGTAAATCCAGGGTACATCTCGGGTAATTTAAAGTTATAAGAGGTATACTACAATTACGTTCTCAATTGCATGAAGTGCATTGAACCGAACTAGATATAGTAGAAAACGTTAGTATCCACCGGTATTTCAGAACTAAGCCTCATACGTCTAATAAATCTCACATTACACACATTTTTAAAGCATGATTGAATATAATCATTTTTCAGCTACAATGTTGACGTTTAACTGTCGCCTGTATGTAAATAACATTCGCAACTATTTATGTAAAACTCTGTAATAAATTCTCGTATAAATCACTTTCGAATTATGTCGAGTGCGTAGAAAATTTGATTACCCTGTAGAGTTAAGGTCCTAAACATTCAAGCGATAAATGACCGGTTTGCTGATTTTCGGGAAAAGTAGATGACCCGATGCGTTAATATTAGGGAAGGAGAGACAATGTGGTATTAATCTTTGGGAATGTAAAGGTGTTACTTCCGAGACAATGCCCCTTAGTGAGGCATGGTAGAGGAAATTTTGCACTATTAGCTCCGGAATGACGAAAACATCGAAAATTCAGTGTCCGATCACTTATACCGTCTCTCGAAACGAATTGTCCTATTATTTCATAAAAGTTCGCTTTTATTCCTCCCATTATAATTGCTTGGGCTGAGAAGACGCATCATACAAAGTTCCGAAATTAAAGTCCAGAACTGACAGTATTACGTCTTTTAGCATCAGTCTAGATTTATGGTCGTATTTATAATGAGGACCAAACTGAACCAGAAGAAAATGCAAGCAGCAGTACATATAAGGAAAACATATGCTTAGTATATAAACACGGAGATAACTGTACATCTGACAAAAAATATAAGCTGACTGAAGTAGAAAGTGAAACATCGCGTCTCCCCATTGATAGTGTCTACCACTGACAGTCTGGACATGTGTGGATAAATCTGGTCACGTCTAACTACACAAAGTTGATCAGCCTCGTTTATATGATAAATTCACCAAAAGAAATACTCACAGGAGGAACCGTGATCCAACTGCTTTGATCATTATTAGACGAATTCGAATTTCCCATAACTATCCACTACCATTAAGGAACGAAGGGTTAGCTTCAATGAATATATCGGACATGTTTAATCCAGCGCGTTTACAAAGACGAACAACTTACGCGCATCCAAAACAAAGCTTTTTAGTTGGAACAAACAACTAAACCAGTTTTCGGAGGCGATGTATTTTAACTTTCGTGTTTTGCAATATCTCAGTGATATAATCTCGCCTATAATGTATTGACAGTAGGAGTTGGTTTTACTTGTTCTGGTGAAATGATTCCAGCGATTCGCGATGCTATGTGTCAGACGAAACTTCTAGCACGAAAAGTTTTATTCTTGCCTTCAGACGTTTCAAGCGCGTCTTCACAGAGGGTTGGTCTTTATTATAAAAGGAGATAAAAGTTATTTGTATGAGAAGTCATCACTCAATGTACAGTAAACCAGTGTTAAATTACCTCATTATCCAGGAAATGCGAGAGGATTTGTGTTGCAGCGTTTTAGCCTGTCTTATTAACATAGGGTACTGAGACATTTTTCACTTGATTGTCTCGTTTTTCAAACCTTTAGAACATATCTACTTCGCATTAGAAATGGGGACTACGTTCTTATTTTGCCTGTTTGTCAATCGTTACACTTACCCCTGTAGATCACCAACGTAGATGATCTATGTCGAAATGATTGGAGGCCTACTCGAGTTAGACGTGAATGGTGTGACGAACCAACTAACGTCGAAGTCACACCTCGTTGTCGGCACCTTACGTGGACTACCCCCATTGACGTAACAAGGTACTATAAATGCTTTGAAGACTGTACAACACAAAGGACGTTATTACAGAAATATATTAGTTAAAGTAGATACAAGCGAAAGTAAGACCACTGCCGCATGGGCCAGTCCATGGCGTATGATTAACTAATGCGCGTTTTGTTGTACATGACCTTGGCAGGGAGCGACGATCTGTTCGACATTCAGTGATCCAACTGCCGGATGATTTGGCTAGGGCTCAGTGACATTTCACTGGCCCTACAATACTCCCCCACCAGATTCAGCGGCCGTTTGAATCGGTACCAAACATGTTGGGAGCAGTCGCGCGCCGGAGAGTGCCAAACGAATATTATAAATCCTCCAGGTATTGCTTATCTGTAAAACAAATGGAAAGGAGGCGGCAGAAACTGGTCGGGAAACAGCGAGTCATAATATGTTAGTAGGACGTTGGTTAAACGTAAAGCGATTAACCATAGAAATAATGAAAAGAACAAAACGTTTTATTGTTCTATCAAGTCGCGCTGAAATATATAGCGTTGACAAGTAATTCAGTTCCTCCGATGACAAACGTTAAGTCTGCCGCAAGAGTAATGATGCTATAGCGATAGTAGGATAAGTGTATTATCAATCGATATCCATATTTGTACTGTCATTAGTTTAAAGTTGTAAGTCGGACAGTGTCGTTGACAGCTATTAATTAGTGTCAAATTCTAGTTATATCTATATCTAACAGACTAACCGTAAGTACAGAAGTATAACAGTGAAGAGTGGTCGTGATTTCGTTGTGCGAAGCTATTGACCAACTTGTAGTTACAGTTTGAAAAGTCGATGACTGCTGTTACAGTCAGTAAGGGTTGAAGGCTACAAATCGACAGCAAAAGGTGGCACGATGAAGTCTCTAAAAGATGAAAAACGGTGAATGCTGCGTGTTTGTTCGGTTAGTGAACAGAAAAATATCGAAAAGAACATAAGAAACCAAGAGTGTCACTCTGGACTCATGTCAATGATACCCGTGAAAAACGCTGTCAGTTTTGGGATAGAGGCGACAATATCGTTTTCAGTTTGCAGGAGATTCGCTCGACTGCATAAACTGATGATTCGCGCGAATGATATTGTCGTCAGACTACCAATTGAACTGGACAGGTTGTAAATCGTCGAGTAGTTGAACAGCTTATTGATGTACCGGAATCATCTGTTAATTAACAGCCACGAGGAAACAATACTTCATAAAATGAAGTACGACATCGAAGTAGAACAACTACAATAGTTCAGATGTATTACAATGTCAAGTCTAAATAATATCGTTCTTACGTATACTGACAGTTGCACTGAACGTTCGCTTAGGTATGATTAGCGTAACAGTTGGATGTGTGAATAAAAACATATACGAAAACTATGGTTGGGTTCGTGGAGAATTTTCGAGGACGTTTAGATATTTTCCAAACCCGTATCGCATGTAAATAAACCGAAAATAGAATTAAAATGACTGTCGTGTAATAAGGAAATCGAGCCATGATTTACCGTGTGAATTATTAGCAAATACAAGGGGTATAATAAACACTAATTAAAATGGTAACCACCAATGTAACTAAGGTTTAGAGGGTCCAGGTAACGTGGCCATTTCGTAAAAGGCTGATACAAAGAGCTTATTACCTAGCGTTAAGTGACATATTAAGTACGACAACATGTGTACTTGGGACACGGACTAAGCGTGCTCGTGTACATGCAATATGTTTTACCACAGTATGTCGACTAACGAGTCATAAATGTACATGATTTCGACTAAAACTTGACGGCAGTGACAGAATATATGACTAGTTTACGTGAAAGCAACTACGAAATGTTATCACGCATCATAAATATAGTACGAAATAATCTAATGAAATTATGAAACTCGCCTGGGTTACAACTTGCCTTTAAGTAATGAAGTAGGCAGTAGTTTGAATCTGGATTATGTACGAGGTACTGTTGATTAAATTTTTCGATTAACACAGCGTTGTAGACTGACGAACAGTCTAAACGAGATCTAAGATCGCAGGAAATTTATAGTTCAAACTCACCGTGAATTTCTAGCATTCGTATCCTCTGTTTGGCCATGGAACTCAGCAATTGGAAATTAGGCAGGCAGTGGTAAAAAAAGGCAGAACAATCTAGTGGATAGTGGTTAAGCAGAAACATGAATTTATAGTCGATGGTTAATTTTGTCTTATTTATACCAGTGGATAAGGTACAAAGAGATATGCGTTCGTGTTGCCTTGTGGCTATACTCACGAGTGGTTGATATTTTAACAGACATATTACACAGGAGCATTTACATGCTGCTAATGCTTGTTAAAGAACCACGACAGCCGATTATAATCGTAGTTGATTGGTTAGTTCTGTCGATCGAACTAAGTATTTAAGTTTAAATGCTAATCAACATTGACATGAAGCAACGAAAGTTCACATTAACAGATTAACATAGGCGATGATAAAAATGAAAAAGAATAAGTATAGAATACAATAATAAAGATTATAGTGATAGGTTGCGTTATTCGAAGTCTTGCTCACCAGTGTAGATCACCAACGTAGATGATCTATGTCGAAATGATTGGAGGCCTACTCGAGTTAGACGTGAATGGTGTGACGAACCAACTAACGTCGAAGTCACACCTCGTTGTCGGCACCTTACGTGGACTACCCCCATTGACGTAACAAGGTACTATAAATGCTTTGAAGACTGTACAACACAAAGGACGTTATTACAGAAATATATTAGTTAAAGTAGATACAAGCGAAAGTAAGACCACTGCCGCATGGGCCAGTCCATGGCGTATGATTAACTAATGCGCGTTTTGTTGTACATGACCTTGGCAGGGAGCGACGATCTGTTCGACATTCAGTGATCCAACTGCCGGATGATTTGGCTAGGGCTCAGTGACATTTCACTGGCATTTCACTGACATTTCACTGCGTCGATAATGTTTCGGCACGATTGGGCGATCCCTACCTGTCGATGTGTCACAAAGTAAGGTTTCCTTACCTGTTCCCATCTGTTTGATGCGTAGTTTAAGGGTTGTGGACGATAACTCGTGCTGAAGATCACTGTCTTCTTTTCGAAGCTCGGCGAGCTTAAGAAGGTCGATTCCTTGGAAACTGTTCAAGGAAGTTATGCGAGATAAGGCGTCTGCAACTACATTGTTTGCTCCAGAGATGTGTTGAATATCTGAAGTAAACTGCGAAATGTAGTCCAGTTGTCGAGACTCACGGGGAGAGTACTTGTCAGAAGGAGAGCTTAACGAGAAAGTGAGCGGTTTATGGTCCGTGAAAAGAGTGAATTCACGACCTTCGATGTAGTGTTGGAAATGCCGTACAGCACAATACATAGCTAGGAGTTCCCTACCGAATGTGCTGTACCTCGATTCGGTGTCTAGCAACCTTCTAGAGAAAAATGCCAAGGGTTGCCAGGAGTTGTTAACCGATTGTTGTAAGACTCCTCCGATTGCTGAGTCGGATGCGTCTACTGCGATGCTAATGATTGCTCGGGTGTCCTGATGTGCGAGCATTGTTGCTTTAGCAATCAGTTCCTTAACTGTGGAGAATGCTTTTCGTGCGGTGTCGTCCAAATTAATGGATTTCGCATTTCCACGAAGTTGGTCGGTCAGAGGTTTCATAAGTAATGCGCATTTGGGTATGAAACGTCTATAGAAACTTACGAGGCCGTTAAACGTGCGTAATTGCTTGACCGTGGTCGGTTATGGGTAATCCAGAATGGCCGCCACTTTGGTCCTAAGAGGTCGAATGCCTTGAGCATCGATAGTGTGTCCTAGGAAGTCTAACGAGTCGGTTCCGAATTGGCATTTCTGAACGTTTACAGTTATGCCATGTTTTTGAAGTCGTTCGAAAACAAGATCCAGATGCTTGAGATGTGTTTCTCTGTCCGGACTTGCGATTAGACAGTCGTCAACATACGCGTGTACGAAGTTGAGACCTCGAAAACCGTCGTCTATGAATCTTTGGAATGTTTGAGCAGCATTCCTTAGACCGAAAGGCATTCGCAAAAATTCATAGAGTCCGAAGGGAGTTATGATAGCTGTTTTCGGTATGTCGTCAGTAGCCATAGGGATTTGGTTATACGCTTTAACCAAGTCGATTTTCGAAAAGACAGTTGTACCTTTCAAGGTAGCTGTCAAATCGTGAATGTGAGGCAACGGGTAACGATCGTGAATGGTTTTCGCGTTCAATCACCGATAGTCACCAGTTGGACGCCAATCGTTGCTGTCC